ACAGGACCGGGACCAGGACCGGGAACAGGACCGGGACCAGGACCGGGAACAGGACCTGGTTCCAGACCGGGGACAGGACCTGGTTCCAGACCGGGGACAGGACCGGGTACAGGACCTGGTTCCGGACCGGGTTCCGGACTGCTTCCCGCCATCTTACCGTGATGAAAACCGGGTCTTACCGTGATGAAAACACCTCCACGTGCTCGCGGGGTTCACGCGCAGGGACCGTTGGCCGGACGAGCCCTCAGCGGCTGCGCAGGAACGGCTCGGGTTAAGCCCCGCCCCCTCTGCACCCAACCACCAATGGCAGGCTGTATCCCGGCAACAAGCACCAATCACAGGAAGCGTTTCCCGCCCCTCAACCGTCCCATCCAATCAGATCAGATCACAGTTACAGGAGGAGAGTCGACCCGGAAACAAAACCCGGAAGTGAACGCGAACATGTCCGGGTGAGGATTTTCCAAACTAAAAGGCCTTTAAAACCGCACTGAGATCAATCAATCAATCAATCAATCAATCAATGTTTATTTATATAGCACTTTACAACAACCAGAGCTGACCAAAGTGCTTTACAGAATAAAAACAGATCTATCGAAATATACAAAGACAAACACATTGGTGACAGAACCCAGTATACAGAGATTTTACGTGCAAAAAGCCATTCTGAACACATACGTTTTAAGTTGAGCTGAGATGACCCAAGTTTCAGCGTAAAGCCCGAAAACACTTATAAAGCGCGTTCAGGAGCAGACAGGACTTTAATAGTGGAGGGAGGGGGTCCACATTAAGGAATGGATAGCGCCCAGTTATCCAAAAATATTGGAAAGAGATTAACAATGTAATGCAAACTGTTTATAACGTCACCATCCCTCTCAACTTCAGGACCATGTACCTATGACTGAAAACACCGGCAATGGACACAGTAAATAAATACCTTTGGAACAGAATGCCTGCTGCTGGAAAAAAAAGCCATAACTAAGAAATGGATGACACAGTCAGCCCCCACCATTTCAAACTGGATTGAAATCATGACTGAAATAACAAATTACTTTTAAAATTCACTTGAAACTTGACATTTTTCACAAACTTTGGTCAAAATGGGACAGGGTAAAATGTGCCGTGCTTCAAAATGGTTCATAATTCATCGCTACTTTCAAGAAGCTGCATTTTTGCCAACTGCTCTCTATGTCAAACTCTTCTGTGTTAGTAATGTTGTACTGAAAACTTTGAAAAAATAACATCTAAAAAGAATAAATAAATAAAGTCCCCAAGACAAAGCCTGAGGGAGGGAAGACTCCCAGCAGACGAGAAGAAATAGAAATAATGCTAAATAGAAATAATGCTATATTTAATTCAATTTTATTTCTATAGCGCCACATCACAACAACAGTTGTCTCTCAGCTTTCCAAACAGAGCAGGTCAGACCTACTCTGAAGTTAATTACAGAAACCCAACAATTCCCACCATGAGCAAGCACTAGGCGACACAGGCAAGGAAAAACTTCCTTTAACAGGCAGAAACCTCGAGCGGAACCATGGCTCAGGGTGGATACATACTATATGTATAGTATTCAAGAACGCATCACGCGCGGCTACATGGGTGGCAGCTGGAAGAGACACACACAAACACACAACAGTCTGTTACACACACGATGGTTTCTTCATTCCAAACATGTGTTTATAAACAACAACAAAAAAGTTTTAAAAAAGGGAAAAAAGAACATGTTTACTGTTGTGTAATATTCACCTAGCTCCATTTTTGTAGATTTTCTTTCTTTACCTGTACATCCAGTCAGTGCGCGCGTCTGGCTGTGAGCGCGCGTGCGCACTGACTGTGCCGTGAATCACTTTCACTTCCTCTTCAGCGAATCTCAAACACACTTCACTTCCTCATCAGACCGGGTTTTAGAGCCCATGTCCTGCCCTGGAGATGAGGCCCAGTCCTGAACCCCCGGATAGGGTTAGGGTTAACTCCCGACCGGACCTCCACGCGCTTTACGCACGCGCCCTCCTCCAGCGC